CAAGACTTTTTTAGCGCAGAATGGTAGATATGTGATGGAGCGCTAGATGTCAAGAACTAGTAACTGATCTATTTCTTGTTACCGCAGCAGAAATGACCAGGCTGTCTGAATCCGATAGTCCTGGCTTGGGACATGAACGAAAGACGAGCATTGTTGATCGGTTAGAAGGATTTCATCCGGTTCGTGCACGGGTGCCGTTTGTACTCGGTGGAGTAGGAGAAACGACTTAGGTGAGAACGCAACCAAAAAATGTGAAAGTCAGGTGCTTCTTGCTTTTAATTTACACTGGCAAACATACTTTCAGCTGTGCTGGAACTGACAAGCGGCTGCCGAGTTCACTCATATAGCATCTGTCAGCACAGCTCTGATTTGCAGTTAACTAATGGGAATGATTTCTGTTCACCTGAAGTAATTGCTGCGTGTTTGGACTGCATCATGTTAGCTTACTGTGAGATGCGATTCACTCCGTAGTGATTCTTGGTAGGCTTAATTGATGAAACCGCACACGAAACAGTTAGACTTCAGTCTCCTCGTCACAGACACTTCACACTTCGAGCGGTTTCACCCTTCTGTGGACTTTTCAAATACAGGTTGTCGGTGCTGGATGTCGACACGAGAAATGGTAACTTTCCATAGGCGTTCTCAGCGCTTGATCACCGAACCCAGTATGCAGTGCATAGCATTAATCTTATGGTACGCTAGTTCAAAAAATAACACCAACTTTCTTTTGTACTTGGGTTGCCGAACCGGTATGATTCTACTTACCTCGAGTGTGATGAGGATAGTCAAACTATCCATGGCCAGTCAAACACAGGGTAAACTGCGACCTCTAGGGCAATGCGAGACAGTTGTTTGGAAGTAAAAAACCCTAACTTTATAAACGTACTTGGCAGTGCAACCTGGTTAAGACTGGCATCCAAAACATGAGGTCAAACCAGCGATCAACTGATCACCGATGGACGGGTCTGGCAGGCTCTTTGGGTAATATATACACTGTGGAGACTCCAGTGAAAACTGTTACTGGGTCCAGTGGTTCTACTTCGAAGATCGGCATACAATGCGTATCAGCAAGCAGAGCTCAGTGGCCGTTACGGATTGACGTCACAAACTCCAGATTTTCTACGTACACGACTATTTTTGATTGGGTCTAATTTGTATTCCCTGGTATCAAACGCCCCGCAGTACGCACTACACTGGCGACCAAACTAAGCATAACATGCGCTCTGATTGTGACGTTGCTAAATAACATCCATGGCCAGTGAAGTGATCGCCACAGCAACCAAGGACTTAGCAACTAGTTGAAGAAAAGCAGCTTAGTTGGAGTGCCATTTTCAGACACTCGTGATTCGCATTAAAGTAGGCTTAGCCAAACCAATTCTTGGAACAGGAACTGATAAAGCAGATGAATATTTGGCGTTGTTCACCCGAAAACATGGCACTGATTGACGCGCTTCGAACTTATTTGTTCTCAAGGCAATACAAAATACCTACCCAGTTCATCAGTTATGATCCCAGTGATCGATTTGACCAAAGTTCATTACTAATCGAGGTCCATATTGCGATTGCGTGTCGCAATCCATTTACACAACGACTGCTTCGACATAAGATTTCAATCATTCCTTAACCTTAGTTCCAAACGTCGCCCCTCGTGACTCGGTGGCTAAGTGGGTAGAGGTTTCGGCTAACATCTCAATAAACAAAAAGATGAATAAACCTTTAGTCCAAGAAGTGCGAGACACATCCAACAAAACATGATCAGTAAATGACAGTCTTGTACAATACATTGAACACAATAAATCGGAATACTTGAAGCTCGGGCTGTTCAGATTTTGTTCTGTTCTCCGAGCTGAACAGTTTCGTTGCAGACGTTTCATCACCAGTCGTGGTGACTTCCTCAGTCCGTTATAAGCAAACTGATTTGTTTTGTCGATTCTTACCGGTGAGCGAGTGACATTTGAACCTGAACTGAGCAGGTTCAAATGTCACTCGCTCACCGGTAAGAATCGACAAAACAAATCAGTTTGCTTATAACGGACTGAGGAAGTCACCACGACTGGTGATGAAACGTCTGCAACGAAACTGTTCAGCTCGGAGAACAGAACAAAATCTGAACATTGAACACAAAGTGATTAAGAACATGTACCACCAACAAGCTAACTTTTTCATAGATAGAATGAAAGGACACATCACGTGGAGTCAAAAACAGTCTGAAATTAAGCCATTGGATAATATCAATAAAACAGTAGTAGGGCAGAAGTAGAATATCTGGGCACAAGAGCCACAACAGATTTAAGGTAAAGATGGAAGTATAATAAAGAATGATCAAGTGAAGTAATACGGTCATCCCTGGGACTGTCTCGTTGGAACTTACTTCCATGTGGAGTAGTCCCATCGAGAGGATTCACCCGCATCTCCACATCCCATCTGGTCGCGGGCTGGAGTGACAGAAAAATAGTTAGCCCTGGTCGATTTTACTATTCATTGAAGCCAGCCAGCCCGTTCGCCAATCATTACATTTTACTGGGCATGATAGCCAAATTCACTTGATTTACCGATATATGCCCCAAAGTTTGTAATCGACTGTTCAGAGTGTACTGTTTGCTGAACTTTTTATAAGTACTGCACAGTTTTTTAATATTCACCAGAGGGTCATTGGCTATCCACCTTGAGTGGGAGAAACATACTGCTTGGAAGCTTCAAACTATCATCTAAGGAGATGGCGCAGTCGTGATCAACAAAGGAGAAACAAAATAAATTAAAATAAGAGAATTCAAGCAAACAGAAGTAACAATGAAGGGAATAAACTAATAGCGCGTTTCGCGACGGTGAGGAGAGCATTGTGTCGGTTTGTGTGCTGAATTTAACATAAGCCAAGAGAAACAGGTTGACCATCAACTTATTAATGGGTGAGATAAGTACCAAGCAAATCTCTAGAGCGATCGAACAGTTCTGGGTACCAGAGCATTAGAGAGACTGTTGTTCTCAATGCGCTGAAAATGGATGGTCTGTTCGATGGTGTTTAATTTGTAAGGTAGTTCCAACGGGATTCATATCAAACGGTTAACGCTAACAGAGTCATATTGGGGCCGGAATGAGGTTCAGCATGAAAAGCGTAATTCATCTCCAAACCAGTGCACCAAAGTAGCAGAAAACAGTATTGCTAAGACGGACGTGGATGAACTTCACAAAGGCGGCAGGGAATTATACTTCGTAAGAATGAGATTGTTTAGAAATACATACTGAGAAATTCATCCGTCTTAATAAAATAATATTGAGATACTGGGAGGTTATTGCAACCTTCACGTGTATCTAAGACGTTTTCAAAACAAATCAACTAGTCATTGTTTGGCTAAGTGTTGACAAGCTAACTGCAATAATCAGGTGAACGTTGATTTTGCTTATACATTGCGGTTAGGTTTATTCCATGATAACGTGTATTTTAGTTAGAAGAAATTTGAGCGGAGCTTGATTTGAGATGTTTGTGCATACAGTATGCAATCACGGTTTCTTATTTCGTAACACTAAGGAGTCTGAAACTCACTGTTTGGTTGAGCTGTTGAACTTACACCAAGTAGTTGGCGGTAGTGAAGGCGTAGATTAAGTCTGAGTGTGCGCAGCCATAAGGGATCTGATTTTTGAGCACCTCAGCTCTCACCGTAAGTCATAAAGTTGGTACACTCGAAAAGTTCTTTGTAAACGAGCGTTGGAAATGTTTAGGGACTTTCTTTCCACTTTTCTCAAGTTTCCGTACACTCTCATGCGGTATCCAAGTTTCGGCCTAACATATATTTTAACGGCTTTAAGTCTGGATCCCTCAAGAGTTCTGCTTATGTAAGCAATAATTTTCTGTCAGAAGTCTGTATGATAATGCTCTAGAAAATTAAATGAGGAAGAATATGTCAAACCAAGAGGGCTCGGACTGTACCATACATGACAGTAGAATAGTTGTTCAAAGTGAGAATTTTGGGAGTAAATTCACAGCCGTGGTACAATTGTCACTGTCAAACTGTAACTTCCAGCAGCTACTCAAATGCCTTAGTGCGGACAAGTCAGACTGAATACAGGCTAAACTGGGACTGCCTTGCCAAAGAGCGAAATATTTTTAACATCATCAGTGAGGACGAATGGCTACTCGCACATTATTTCATCAAGAATCTCCTTAAAGTAGATTAAGAATAAAAGCAAACTCAGCACGCTAGCTTGAATCAGTCCACGAGCTATTGAAGTGGATGCAGACGTACAGTTACCAATTCCGGTCGCTTGCTTTCTACACTCGTGGTAAGAAGACAATCATTTTAGAAGCGTATTCGAGATATCGTAAAACATAAGCTTTCGTAGCAATAAGTCGTTTGGGATACAGTCAAAAGGCCTCTGGATATCAATAAATATTACTAAGATAACAACTCTAACGTCTCGCTATAATTACCTAGCCAAGGTAATCCAACTGACACGTGGTGCAAGAAATAACTTTTAAAAAACCATGCTGATGTTTACTGAAATAGCTCATAGAATTCAGGTACACTATCAAGCTGTAGTTTTTTACATCTTGCTCAGAACTGCTTTCTTGATCTTGTATAATAGTCAATGCTTTCCAGTGCAAAGGATCTTCTCCATTGATTGTGGAAAGTGTATATACATTAAGTGAAAATAGAGGGATGTCCGGACCTCCACGTTTGACTAGCATTGGCTGGACGTTGTCAGGACCTGGTGAGCATGATGTCCGAAGTAAGCTAATATGGCGACATATGCCAGTGAGAAAATGCCTGCTATCTCTACCTGATAGGAACAGCCTACACTTTGACCATTCCGACCTTCGGAGTAGCCTAATCTATTTGTAACCATCCAGTCTACCCTTATAATGAAAAAAGCTGGAAACTACGACTGCTCCATTTCACCGTTTGAATCCTAGGAGGAAGCTTTGTGGACCTCAGTGTTGGGTGGTATATAGTAAGATGTATGTGATCGACATAATAAACCACTAACTATTTTCCACTCAACAGGTCGTTCTGGAAGACATCAAACCGATATACAAAATTCGTGTGGAACTGACGCCGATCGACATGACCATGGATACGGAGTGGGAGTTGATTGAGGTAGGTTTGCGCGGATTTTAATCGGTCTACAATAAATTCTAGCATACAGAACGGGTGCAAGCGAGATCTTTTGTTTTTCATTGTTCAAGCGGTCAGCTTACGAGATAAACAGTACAATAGACTAAATATAGCTTGATGCGGTCCTGCGCTCTCTCTTGTTTGTACGTGCTTTTTAAACCAATTAAACGCATCCAGCTATTCCTACTATGAGATGACCACCACAGTGCTGGGCGAGAAATGATAGCTTCAGGGTTTTCGTTTTCATCTATCGTGGACCTGTTTAATGGTTTAGAGCTACCTTAAAACCACATCATGGGTCGCTAGCTTTTCAACCACCAGGTATGATCGTGGGTGGTAGGTAAGTTGAAATCAAACACAATTCTCTCCTTACGATAAAAACGCCGTGTCACATTGCTTGGAGACTGGTGTAGTAATAAGGTCAGACAATCTAAGAACTGCTGATGCAATGCGCAAAAAGACATGGTCAGACGGAGAGAGAATAGTTTGACTGGAGAGTGATTACACTATGAGGCTTTTTAGTAAGAATTTAAGGTTTAAACGGCTAACATGAAGTTGTGGTTAACAAGTAGGTCGGAGTAAGTTTGAATAACCCCACCTCTGACTTGTTCAGCACCAACTGTTAATATCAGGTGGTTTCTTCCATGAAACTAGAGATAAAGTCCCCCCAAGTGTTTAATTAAAAGGCGATCCATAGAAAGCCATACACTAAAATCGTCACTTGCAGTTCAGATTGTGTGTAGTCAATCTCGCTGGACTCGGGCAACGTGTTCGGTTCGGGGTTAAGTCGTGATCCAAAGGAGTCAGTCTCGTTGGTAGCCTTGTGCTTATCTATCCACTTGGTACGTGCAGCCTCCCATATTTACCAGCCAAATGCCCAACAACCATCGACGACACCCATACTGAATACTGTATATTGAGAATGGAGAGCGAGAAGATAAAAAGCTGTGTTCCTCCATCGTAGGTGGATCGGGCCCATGCGCGGAATCACGTCAGTAATTCCTGCACGGTGGCAACATATTGCAGCTGCACTACATATTATCTGGGTGCGATGCCTTCCCTATACCTGTAGTCCGCAAACTAGGCATCAAGCTATCTCTTAAATTCCGACACCGATTTCGCTTCGACTATTATCTCCGGCAATTTGTTCCAATATTTCACCACTGGACGCTTGAAGCATAGAGGGAGAGCGATGCGCTTTAAATCAGGTACCACTAGTTTATACCCGCGTCCGCGTGTGCTGCTTGGTGCGCGAACGTGCAGCAGCGGCTTCAACATAGGGAAGTGGCCCAGGTGCAATATCCGGTGTGTCATAATGAAATCAACTCGAAGCCAACGATATTACAGGGTATAGTGCCCTAGTCTCTTACAGTGGTCCTGGTACGATGTACCCCGTAAACTGGGATGAGCTGGGTAGTTTGTTAGACTGGCTTAGTGCACGTTACGAGTGACAACGTACTCCTAGGCCTTATCGAACGTAGGTCAGTTAACAATAAAAATAAATAGACACTATAGGAAGTTCGACGTGAAAACTGCAAAATCTGATGCATGTGTCAGCTATTTATATACCTACTGATAAGGCTATGAAGCAAAGCTTTATTGATGTCAAAGAGGTGAGTACTGTAACGCAATTAGACCAGTTGGAGTTGTCTGCGACCGGACAACCAACCTACTTTTCTCTAAAACTATTTGCTGCTCAGTGGATAGCATATCAGTTGTAGAACCTACCCAGAACCTTCAGTGTCATAAGTGACATAGTTGACGGATATTGGCCACGTAGCCATCTGCAGTCAAGTTAGCAATATCCATCCTATGCCTTCAGAATGTTACAGGTTGTAGTCAGCTTTTATAGCCCTAGTCTATATAAGTCATTATCCAGGCAAAGTTATTCACCTAATTCCGAAGCACTAGCTCATTCTACCAACATTGCTGTCCACTGATAACGTGTACTATAGAGAATGGAAAACAGCTCGCCCTCCTATTGGTACAATCGTAAACTATTCTGCAAACTGGTAACTTGTGAATACTGAAAACTGAAAAAAATGCAGCGAGTAGATGTGCCTATGTAGACGTATCTAATATTTTTAAAGCAAATCTACTTATTCTGATGGTGATTATTCTCAAAATCTCAGGTCGGCAAAGTGCGAATCCGAAAGTTTCTTATACTCCGGCAGCGATTTTGCTTCCGCTACGTCTGCAGGCAGGTTGTTTCAAATATTCACCACCCTCCTCTCGAATCAAAATTGGTGAGCGACGCGCTTAAAATCCGATACGACAAGCTTGAACTAGTGTCCTCGTGTGCTGCTTGGTGTACGAAGATGCAGCAGCTACCTCAACGTGTGGTAATCACCCAGATGTAATATCCGGTGCGTCATGATGGCGTCAACCCGCATTTGACTAGGGTGTACAACCCTAGTCTCTTGCACCGGTCTTCATATGGCACACCTCGTAAACAGGTGATGAGCCTTGTGACCACATGCTGTACTCGCCCAATCCTTTGCCTCTCGCCCTGGGTGAGCGGACAGTAGGCGGGTGAGCTGTACTCTAACATTACCCTGATGATAGAAGAGAAGAGGCAGGTAGTAACATCTTCAGACCAAGTGCAGAAATTGCATTTGAGCGCCCAGAGCACGTGCCGTTCGTTTTGGTAAAACCTGTTAGTGTTTTTTTCAACTGATTTAAAATAGCAGCATGAGAGTACGCTGAGATCTTTCACGGATGGTGATGGGTGTAACTGTTGGCCGGCCAACTTGCAGACTCGACCGTTCCCACCCTTGTCCAGGCTCATGAATACCGACTTGACCTGATTGATCGGAAGGTTGACCTTTGCTAACCACTTGGAGAGACGGCCAAGATAACGCTGAAGCAGGTCACAGTCATCGGGTACCTCAGTTATCCTCCATACCTTAAGGTCTTTTGCAAACAACGCGCAGGGTAAACTGGGAAGCTGAGGCAAATCGTTAGTGTGGATCAGGAGAAAAGTGGGCCCAAGGAATGTGCTCTGCGGGACGCCATTGGTCGAGGGATACCACTGGGTCAGGTAGTTGTCCATCTGCACCCTCCACGTCCGATAAATAAGGAAGTCACTGATCCACTAGTGCAGTGGGCCACTAACACCGCATGTGTTCAGCTTCCGAAGGAGGATCTCATGGTTCACCTTGTCAAAGGCTCTACTGAAATCGATGTAAATGACGTCCACCGACTTCCCTTGGTTTAGCCCTTGCAGCCATTCGTGCCTCGAGAGCATCAGGTTTGTGATGCATGACCGACCTTACATGAAACCGTGCTGCGCGGGCGTCAAGATGCTTTTCGACTCGAGATGCTGCGTAAGACCACGTTTCACAATCTTATCGAAAGCCAAAACAGAGGTCAGACATATCGGCCAGTGGTTGTCCACCTTGCTCGGATCGCCTTCTTTCGGAATCGGTCGCACCTCTGAGCATTCCCAGTCGCTCGGCAATGAACCGGTGGACAGCCTCCTATTGAAAACTTTATTTACCGAAAGCGTGATGATGACCGATAGCGTGCATTATTAAACCAGCACTAGTGTTCCAAAAGGGTCCGTCAATAACTCAGCATGTTTCAGCGAAGAAACCTTAAGAGATTTTGTGTTGAGGTCAAACATCACAAGAGCTACTGTGGCCAAATCATCAGCATTGTAATTGAACAGGTCTTAACGAGCAATGGACACTTGTTTCGTTTGAACAGTATGGAAAACTGTTCCTCTGCAATGGCTGTACTAATACGAAACGCATGTTCAGTAAGCATATATATATATATATGCATTGTATTGTATGCATTGTATTGTACTCGATTTCGACGGTACATATACTAAAATTGGAACGATACAGAGAAGATTAGCATGGCCCCTACGCAAGGATGACATGCGAAATCGTGAAGCGTTCCATATTTTTTGTGCCCCATGCTGAGGCTGATGTTGAATTCATGATGCTCCTTCACCGCAGTGGGGCTAAACCAAGTTATACTTAAACTAGGTCTTTTTAAGGTGGATAAAATTCCTTACATTTTATTTGGTTTGTTCTGCGTACTTGATAATCTCCTCCCAACTTGCACACGTTGCTCATGCAAATTGTAGTAAACTTGCGTAAATTTATCCCGGGGTATTTTTTAAATAAATTTCGGACATTTTGTACTTATCGCGTATTCACCTTTAATCAATTGCTTGCATAGGCTCATTTAGCGAGTATTTATATCGTTAAATGCGTTTACTTTATTCGAAACCGGCATTTTGAATGATTGGCTGTTGTTTGCCATCCCAGGTGGGCCTGCGCTTGATGTGCATGTTGACAAGGTGCCTACCTGTCTATTACCCACTACATCGTCTATTTGGGTCCAGGAGACAGTTAGTCGTTGCTGGAGGGGACGGGGTGCACGGTCCTTGTGGCCGTGTTAGGGTCAAAGAGCGGTTCCATGCACTCAGTGTGGAGTGGACTACGATCCAGCCACCGCCTTGTGTGCACTTGGTTCCCCAAATACAGCGTGGTTGTGTTTGCCTGTGAAGGAGTTTGGGCCGGGTACGTTTACGTAAGGTGGCTCCCATTCGCATGCTTCCCGGTCTTATTCGTTCTGGTTTACACTGGATATAGGGTGTGTGGATGGAGCTGTGGGTGGTGCAGCGCAAGCCATCCATGGTCCCTCTGTAGACGCAGGCGTCCTGTGGCTGGCCACAGAAACAGGCAAATCCGAAACCGGATGCCGCCAACCATATAGGCATCAGTCTATACATAGATCTTGAGCCGTCGAAAAATTACGAGGAACAAATTAAATACGTACAAATGTTAAAACTGTGAAAGAACATTGTGGGCTTTTTGACTTTTTGTTTTTCTTTGTTTTCACACACCATTTTGTTCTTTTTTGGCATTTTGATTGGTATAGATCTAACCATCTTGTTTAAAACATTTCAATATATAGTTCCTCCATTGGTTCCGGTTTCGAGCCACGTCGCTAAATGTGTCGAGCCA